AAGCAGGAGTACCATGCCTTCACCGTTCGAATTTTTGCGTAACCACTTCACGCCGTCTGATATGGCAGTGTCGTTTACCCAGTTGACTCTCCATTCGCTCTGCATGTTATCCACCGCATGCACTGTGAGGCCATAGCGTCGGAGCATATAGGACCAATAACCATTGCCAGAACCGATGTCGACAATCGGGCGCCCGTCAGACAGAACTTTCAGGATAGCCAGGCTCTCGTGGGTTGGTGTTGCGCAGCCAAAATGATGCATGAAAATTGGAAGAACATGGTGGGACATTGGCACACGTTCTGATGCCGGGCAAGGGCCGCACCATTCAAGAGAGTGACATGACCACATCCAGAAGTCGAGATAGGGATTTGCGCTGGGCGGTTTTTTGCTCTTGGGGATAGTGAGTTTCGTTACAAGCCCAGGGTGCAAATATCGCTTGCTCTCAAGGTTGGCTGCGACTTCACGCCTTATGGAATCTTTCTTAGCATTTGTTCCTAGATTCTTGAGAAATGCAGCAGTAGCTGTTGATGGTCTGAAGATAGAGGTGTATGCTTCAATATCAGCTTGGGGAGGTGGTCCTCTCTACATGGATGTTAGTTTCACAAATTGTTACTCCTTGGATATTGTCTATGGGTAAGTTCTTACAGGTGAGCCATCTTCATTGCGATACCACGCGTGTAAGCCATTGACACCTCCAAGGTTGACTACTGACTGGACTTGGGCAAGTTTTACGCTTGCCACGGCATGATATGTATAGGGATCCGGATCAGGGAGTTGGAAAAGCACTCGACTGGCGTTGAAGAGATCATTTTTCAATAGGTAGTCCACAGCCTCTCTCTGACGGTCGACATCCTCAATGAGTTCATCTGGATTGAAAGATGGGCTTCCAACACAATGAACGAACTTGGATTGGGGCATCTTGTGGTAAGAATGGCAGGATACCGAGAGATCACTCACAACAAGTGCCTCAGTTCGATATGGATGACGCTATACTGTTAGCATATAATTGAGTTAGGTAGCTATGGGTGGTAGGTATTGTGTGAAGCCTCCAAAGTGGACACAAATTAGCACTTTGCCAAGCCTACCCTGGCGGCCCTGGCACACAATGCAATTGGATATCTATTAGGGAGTATTGAATATTATTTCCATCTTATAAACCGGAAGACCATCTTATCGTGATGTTATCCCGTGGGCCATTTGTTACGGAGCAGTCTTGCACCCCGACCCCGAATAGAAATTCGTTCTGACGTATCATTTATGAGCGGTTCCGTTCATTTGTCGTACTACGTCTGTTGCCCCCGGGCATTGTATCGTAGGTGTGCTGTCGTTGGCTGGGATCCGTTGGTTTGCTTGCTTTTATTACCTACCTCGGTACCAAGGTTGGTAATGGCTCCATGGCTACCTAACAATGCACTTGGAAACCCCCTCGAAAATCACCAAGTCATGTTCTTTGTTCTGATTTCTCCGAATTCAGGTACTCAAGTGCCTACTGCTTGTTTGTGATGGCTAGAACTTTTATCGCCAGCGTGGTTCGCTGGTAGTACAGAGCCAAATGATAGAGTTCCGTACTAAGGGGGCGCCTGGCTGGAACAGTCTCTCGCTCGCATTATAGTTCTAATCGGTATGGCGGTAATCTGCCACCCGACCTCTTGGCACGATCTATGCCGCGCCTTGATTTATTAGTGTGATACATGGATCGCCCTCGGGCGTGGAAAGGAAAACTTCACTGGCGCTTCCTTGGGTTGGGTCAAGAAATCGACGCTACCACCTGCCACCTGTAGCCCCACAAGCTCAATGTAAGTCAACCGACCTGACCTTACCTTCCTTACCTTTCCTCCTCCATACCTGCCTGCCTTTATCCATTGCAGGAGGCGCCTCGTAAAGTCTCCCTTCTCCATCTACAGTTTGCTACTGTGCTTGAATCCGTCGCCTTGAATCTATCATCGTTCATCTTGTTGATGTGGCCTTGGAAGCAAAATCTCCGTCTGGTTCAATTACTCTTCCCAAATTTCTAAAGGGAGTCCCCTGTATTCAGATCGCCATATTCCGTACTCCGTACCAAACTTGCCTTGGCCGACCCTAAAACAACCTTGCTTCGTCATCGGAAGACTCCAACAACTTCGACCGCGTCTCCAATTGCTCCCCTCTTGGCATAATCCAGAGAGAATCCTCATAAGACACTCCTTGAGCTGTAATTGCCATAGTTAGCATATATTTCCACTTCACTTGAAAGTTGTGCTTTCGGAGTCACAAACAACACCAAACAACCTATTGCTCTTTGGTTATATCCGTCTTCCTCCCGGCTCACATTCGTTCTGGAATAAGATGGACCCAGAACCGCACAGCCAGACACAGGCATTACCGCCTTCTACCCGGGGAGACACTACGAAACACGATGGCAAGTCAATTGATGCCGAACAACCACAGACCAGCAATCAAGTGAATGCCAAAGTAAGCATATCAGTTCCATCTGGAGCCGGTATTGCTGAACAGAGGATTCCTAGCGGTAGCACTGAGCTCTCATCGCAACCAGCAGAACCCTTCGACATCTTTAAAGACGTGTATGGAGTTAGTCGTACACCAGGCTCCCCAGGTTCAGACACAAAGAGCCCGCATCGACCCATCACGTCTCCTCTTACTCACCCCAACGGTGTCTCTATGTTTCCGGGCCTATCAGTCACGGAGCAGGAAGCCATGTCTCGACAAGCTTTTGCTCAGGCCGAAGACAACATTGTTGCCGATAGTGACGAATACAGTTCCATAGGCGATGCTGGATCTGATGCCGGATATGGGAGCGACAATATGAGCACTGCAAGTACATCCATCGGGTCGTCTGTTCGGGACTACATGTTTGAGAATGGCCGTCGCTACCATAGCTTCCGGGCCGGTGCCTACAATTTCCCCAACGATGACATAGAACAAGAGAGGGAGGACATGAAACATGCAATGGTGAGACTTCTCTCCGGCCAGAAATTACATTTTGCGCCATTAGATGAAAACCCGCAAAACATACTTGATATTGGAACTGGCACAGGAATCTGGGCAATCGAAAGTAAGGTCAATTCTCTTTTCATTTTCGTCTCAGCAACTAACAGTACAATAGTGGGAGAACAATACCCCAGTGCTCATGTCCTAGGAATCGATTTATCACCCATCCAACCGACATGGCTGCCGCCTAATGTTCATTTCATGGTTGATGATGTTGAGTCTCCTTGGCTTCATCCTCAGAATCATTTTGACTATGTACACTCTCGGCACACGGTTCAAGGGATCAAAGACTGGCCTCAACTTTTTAGTAATGCTCTCCAGTAAGTGTCAACTCTGTCAGAGCCAGATCCTCGCTTTGTACTTACACGATCTCAGGCATATCAAGCCTGGAGGCTGGATGGAACTCCAAGAAATTCATCATTACCCCCACCATGCAAGAACAGGAGACGCTGTCCCGCCACACGAGCACCCAGTCGCACAGTATTGGACATATATTAATGAAGGATTAGCACAGCTTGGAGTAGACTTTCCTGCGGCAGCAGGAGGTAAACTGGCTACGAAAATGCAGGCAGCTGGCTTCGTGAACGTCACGGAACGGGTATTCCATGTGCCTCTTGGGACTTGGCCCAAGAATCAAGTGCTTAAGACGGTCGGACTGTACTGGCGCACCATACTGACGGATGGCTTACAAGCAATCGCATTGGGTCCTATGTCAAGGGGCATGGGCTGGAGCCGCGAGCAGATTGAGGTGTTTCTTGTCGATGTCCGAAGGGCGTATAGCGACCATACGTCCCTCTTGTATATGCCTATGCACATTGTCTATGGGCAAAAGCCATACTAAATTGCCGATCAGGATCAGAGTACGTAAACGAATCAGAGTCGCTTCGCGTTCAAAGAATTCACAAGGACGCATCAAGCCGACAGCCCTATTATGATGCTGCCATGGGCCGCATAGCATGGTGTGGCCGCTAAAGATGTAAGATGGAATGGAGGCGGACGCTATACTATCTACCCGATAGAACCGGTCATGGTCTCGGCTGTCTAGGCTGTCTATGGCCAAGCCTCATTGAGAAAAGAGAGCTAGCACTGGATATTTGGCCTTGATATCTGATTAATCAACCTTTGCCTTAAGGGCACATCAACCTACACGACGACTGGGTCGAAAAAACTGATCATTCACAGCAAGTGCAGCTTGTTGGACAACAGACACCTACTTGTACTCTGGACACAGAAGTTCAGTGAACAACTAGAGAATGCACGTGATTTCTTGGTTTTCGTCCAGGGTTCTACATGAACCATGCCAGTCATGGGTCCCCCGCTGCTGTTGCCGCACGAAGTACTTCTACTTAGGACAGGCAGATTTCCCCACGATGCATAGGAGTAGGCATTTTCGTTCCAGACGTGCGATTATTGGCGAACAAAACTACACGACCAAAAAGCTCCGCGAAAGACGCTTGGTGTTTTTGACTGAGGATGACGGCTCGTAGTAGATTTACCTACTTATGCAGCCAAGCTTCGTGCCACCGGTACCAATATTTGTTAGCTTCCGTACTAGCTTGTGGAGAAACTAGGAACATATTTTTAATCTAACCAAACCTGTGTTATCGTAACTACGCACCCGCACCCCAGCAGTTAATGTACTGTAGAGCTCTCAGGTCATGTCTCGACTCAACCTTCAGGGATTAAGACCACAGCTTGCAGGACACACACCAATCATGACGGCTTTGGAATCAGCGCGGAATTCAGGCTTTACCTCGCCACATGTTCCACTGGCGTTTTGAGGAATGATGGTGGTGCGGGTGGGTAGACTTGTTCATGCCGCCCATGTCTTGAGCAGAACAGCTCATGTAAGGTATCCTCGCTACCTTGTTTGTACCCGCATTGGTCATGATGGTAGTCTAAGGCCTAGAGTCAATTTGGGACCATGATGGACGACAATGATGTATAAAACCGCGCATCCCCCCGTCGCTTGCAACAAGGACCAGGGAACACGACCATTTCACTTGTTCAACATGGCTGAATCACACATTTCGTCACATTCGCAGAGTCCACAAAGTCTGGACACATCTCTCATGGTGCAGCTAGCTAGGAAGATTACTGAAGAGACGGAAAAGCTCGATGGGTATCTCAAGGCCAATGGCCTTCCGGACTTGGGCTTCGATGTCAATGCCCCTGGAGATCTTCCCAATTTGCCGGATGACATACAGAGAAGTCGCATTGAGATCTCCTCGGCAACCAAACAGCTGGAACTTCTTGTTCGGGGACCCAGAGAAACTGTCAGATGGGGCATATGGAGTGTAAGCTCGCAGCCTGTGCATTGGCCTTAGTACTAACACAACAAGTATCTTGACACCTTGAGCCTCCAAATACTGACCAGCTATGGAATTCGTGAGACTACCAAATCTGATTTTGTCTGCGTATCTAACCTTGCATAGCCAATCTCGTACCTATGGAGGGATCTATTGCGTTGGCGGAACTCCAAAGCAAGACTGGACTGGACCGCATAAATCTGGCTCGCGCTCTTCGCCATGCTATGACAAATAAGATCTTCCAAGAGCCGACACCAGGGTTCATAGCACACACTGCGGCGTCAAGGATGCTTGCTCAGGACGCCAGCCTCCGAGCCTGGGTAGGTTTGAATGGAGAGGATTTCCTTCCAGCCGGGGCCCATACCTTGGAAGCTCTTCGTGCCGACCCAGAAGCAACCTCACTCACACGGACCGGCTTCAACTATGCATGGGGGACGGTGGACAAAGAGCCAATGTTTGCAACATTCGGCAAGGACCCTCCCAGAGGAAAGCGATTTGCAGAGGCTATGGCAAGCCTGACAGGCGGCGAGGGCTATGAGGTTCGCTACCTTGTCGATAACTACGACTTTTCCGAAATCAACAACAACGAAGGCACATTGGTGGATGTAGGTGGTAGCCATGGCTTCGTGTGCGTCGATCTTGCAAAGAGATGGGATAAAATGAAATTCGTGGTACAAGATTTGGCAAAGACAATCAGCAGCGCCCCAGAGCCTATATGCGCAAATGAAGAGGTAGCTCAACGCATATCTCTTCAGGTCCATGATTTCTTTACTGAGCAGCCAGTCAAGGATGCTGATGGTGAGACTGACAGAGTTTACTCCTTGAGTTTCCCCCCCTTACTGACACAACCAAGTGTACTACTTCCGCTGGATACTTCATAACTATTCAACCCCATATGCCGTCAAGATCCTCAAAAACTTGGTCCCAGCTCTCAAACCGGGAGCGCGTGTCATCATCAACGATCATTGTCTCCGTGAGCCGGGGGTTGAGAACCACTGGGATGAAAAAGTCATGCGGAGTATGGACCTGTTGATGTTGACCTTGTTGAATGCACAAGAGCGGACAGAAAAGGAGTTTGAAGAACTCTTTAGGGCTGCCGATGAGCGATTCCTATTCAAAGTAAGTCACCGAACCGCTTCGTTTCTGACTCGTATATACTGATATGTCTTTTAAAGGGTGTAAGCAGACCTGAGGGATGTAGGATGAGCATTATCGAGGCAGTTTGGCAGCCTTGAATGGGAACGATGTGTTTTAGAAGCAACGATTATCGACAAAGGAGACGGTAGTAAAGACAATAGTGTACAGAATGATATAGGTCAAGGAATGTAAAGTGAGACTGTCTGGATTCCCGAACGTTTGGTACTGAATGGCAGACTGGGGAATTTGCAAAGCATAGGATCTGGGAATGGCTACCATCTAACCAAATAATTCGCCCTTTATTTAACAAAGCGTAATTGGTTTAGTGGTAAAATTCTCCGTTGCCATTCGAGCAGCGTCGGGGAGCCCTGGGTTCGATTCCCAGATTACGCATTGGAACCTCTTCTTTTGCTCTCATGACCTCTTGATTCTCTTTTGGTCGATATCGCGATTTTGGATCTTGGTGTTTTGGTCGGTGGTCGTCGCACTAAGGTACAGATGGCAGTTTTGAGTTTAGGGAGCGCCTGCTTGGAAATCATATCTTTAAGTTGAAAACTTTCTTGCTTGATAGGAAGTAGCTCTTTCCTGAATATACGAACTATCAGTCTGGACAGTATTCCCTGGTTGGGAAGGGTTAAAGGACGGAAGAAGGAACTCAATGGCATGTTCAGACACAAACTGCTCCATTCTCCTTTGGGACTGCAACTACACGTGGTTTGTATGCATACCAGTCACGCCGAAGGACCACCATTCAAGTCAACTCCGCTCAAGACCTAACGGTAACGATTATAGTGTATGGACAATTCATCTGGTGTTACGATAAGCGATTACTTGACTGATATGATCTCTTTCTCGGACCATTGTAGGGTAGTTATGGATATCACTAGGGATGGACACTGACATATATATCCATCAGTGTTAATGAGAACGCTAGCAATAAGGAATAAGTTGGAGATAAACATTATATACCATAACCACCCGATTTTTGGAATCATTGCACTGTGACTTCAACTGAATCCACCATTGAGATACAGAGATACATCTCTGTATCAAAAGCAACATGCAAGCGGTTGTTTCTGATCGTCGTTGGTGCCGTCATGATAATCATATATCCGCAGTCACTGGCGTAGCATCCACGATATCTCAACCTCATTCTTCTCACATTGGTGTATCTACCCTGACTACCTAGGGGAGGAAAGAAAATTTAGGACCTTGATCCTAAATGACAAAAAAGACTTAGGTAAACTTGCATAAATTTAGGGTGTCCTTACTAAGTTTAGGATATCTTTTACTGAGTTTATTTTGACCCCATTTCAAGGTTCGGTGTTTTCTTGCTCCTTGAGGGCTTGGGCGGTCGAAAAATCTCCGAAGAAGGATAGAAAGAACAACCTCATTTCCTTCCAGAAAGAATTGGAGAGGAGCTTGAACGGCAACTTTCCGAACAAAGTTTGCTACTAAGTCATGACGATCCACTCGGATGGAGAACAATTGCATCATGCTCTCCATATATGTCCCCAAGTTAAGAAACCATGAAAGAACTGATTTCCCGTCCTTGATCATCGCTCAAAGAAATTTCTTCAATTGTTCCTTCAAATCTTCAGAAACAGAAATCACAACACATACTCACCATGGCCCAGAACGCCCCCGAGAACTACGTGCCACTCTATGCTACCCAGGACGAATGGCAGGACAAAGAGCTTCAACAGTTCGCGATTGACTTCTACCGCATCTCGGACAACCCTGAAGAGAATCAGCGTTGGGTAGACTCTTTCACGGAAGACGCAAGCGTGCAGATTGGCGCTGACAAGGCGCGCGGCTCAAAAGGTAATTCGATGCTTTCATCAGCACCTTCATTCTGTTGGGGACAATAAGCTGATAAGGGCCATAGATCTGGTCGAATTCCGAAGTCGGATGTGGAAGCACATCAAAGAGCGCAAACACACGGTTCACAAAGTCTTTCCTGGGCGATTCTCAGACTCAAATGAGTGCATGATCCTGGGAGACGTCAGCGTTACCACGACAGATGGACGGCTCAAAGAGGCTGCTTGGTCGGCACATGCAGTCGTCAGGAAGGTTGATGGACAGTGGAAGTTTAGCCAATACCGCGTCTGGCTGCAGACTGATGGACATCTGCTGTGAAGGTCATGTTCTACAAAGATCGGAACCTACCAAAAAAAGCAAGCAAAAATGAATTTGTGCATAGCCCTTTAGTTAGTTATTCAATGTCAAGCAGGTCGCTCAGAGAGCAACTGTAAACAGCTTCACCCAACCGGATACGTCATCATAGGCTCGTGGGAGATGTTGACTTTTGCGGAGTAGAATCGACAAATGCCGAAGAATACCGTTGTCGAATGGTAAAGCCGGGATCAACACGCGCCGATTGACGGGAGCTCTGGCAGGGAGAGCCCAAGAAGGAAATACTAACGACACACCCAAGAGGCCATTCAGGTGCCAATCTAATCCTCACTGTAGCAGCGCAGCGTTTCCTGAGCGAAGCCAAAGTTCACCGTCCCTTGCTTTGAGTGCTAAATCTGGGATATCAGCGTGTCGCCCCCTGGTGATTAGAGAGGCACGGCCATGCTGATGGCGTAAATGGCATAGCTCACCTGACCCATGATCACGGCGTAGAATCATGTGGCTTAGCTGGGTCAGATGGATGGGGCACGATCTATTGAGCCGTGAGAGGAATGGATGAATGATGACAGGTATCAAGACAATAAAGACTGCATAAGATCGAAGATTCAGTCGTCATCGTTGTGACCTTTTCAAGATAGCCGAGTATACTGCCCAGTATCATGGAAGCCTGTCAAACCTGTTATGATGGTGGATGACAAGGCAAGGTATCGAATCGAAAACCGATTCAAGGTGTAACTGAGGCGCTGTAACCTCCGGATTTGTACCCTCCCATTCACTCTCTGGCCAGCGCATGAACTCAACCCCGCGCAGACCGGATGGACCTTGTTCCATTAAAGGTTTGTTCTCGTCATTCACCCAGAAACTGTCGAGGTCAACAGAATCGCGAACTACGGTATGTATGCATGCGCTTGCGCGCTATAACCGCGCGTACTGGATGTGTCAATCATGCCTCCCTATCCAGTTGCCCGGTACGAAAAAGAAACCTTTGATCTTCCGGTTGAGCTAGAAATGCGGGCTGTTTGGTTTGGTTCCTGACAGGCCGAGGCGTGGGTAGTGGCAGATCCGCCAATGCCATTGATGTGTCCGTCAAGATGATGTTCGGGTGAAAGTGGAGGTGGAGGTGGAGGTGGAGGGTCGAAGGGGGCGTCTTATCAACCCTTCAGTACAAGAACCACTTCCTTATCGCTTACAGTGCATGTGGTGGTGATGTCCACTACCAGCCTCCACTGCCCTACTGCCTACTGCCCTCCCTAGGCCACCCGACCCCTCTATTACACCCCACGTCACATTGGAACAGAGGTGTGAATCTAGGCCTCACACATGGATGGGTTGGATGGGATGGGATCTATCAGAGTGACTCTTCGGCCAGCTCCCACCAGTCCTTTGAGCTCTCTTCCTTCACTTACAACTGTGAATGACTATACGATACAAACTTCAACAAAGCGTCTGAATATTTCCTTGGTTTTCGACTCTATAACGATCTTTCCCTTTCTCATCTGTACCTGCATCTGCATCTGTTCTGTTCTATATTGCATCGACTCAACTCAAGTCAACTTGATAGACGCGACGAGCTGGTCTACGCCGCTAACCCAACGAACTCGAGCACTTCGCCGTTCTTTCACGATAATAACTCAACTCAGTTCAACTCGTCCTGGCCGATATTGATCTGCATTTCCTTTCCTTCGCCTCCCATATCCGATAGTAGCTACTACGAATCGACCCCCGATCTGTGCGAGCGAAGCGAAATACATAGGAACACAGACTTCCAACCTAGACAAGTGCCGGCGTCACCTCGACTGCAAGAGAATCGACTTGACGCCTCTTTTATAACAAACGCGCTCTGCAGAAACGCGAGCGTAGCGTTCTAGTTTTAGGGGTAGGAAACTGCTCCGACACTTGTCCAAATCTGCATATGCCTTGTAAGTGCCTCTCTACCTACTGGGAACTCTATTCCCACCTTAATACCCCTCCATCTGTGTATGACCTATCAGCCACTGGCACTCACTGGGATCCCCAATCCCGAACCGCTTGCGCAACCGCGCTCCTCTTTAACAAACAGGAGAGCTGACCATGACCCTCTCGACAGCTTCTAAGAAGGAGAGGAAACATGCCAGAGAAAGTGGCGGCATCGCCGCGGCCGTGACAAAGCAAACAGCTGGTAAATTCGCGTGAGCCTCCCTGTCCGCATGACTCCTCTGGGCTATCATGGACCACTTTAAGTACCTAGCTGACCGCAGTCACATAGCACTGTCACTGTCAATAACGGTAACGCCAACACCAACAAGGATAACGTGAATACAAATATCACCAGTAGCGGAGATAATAAGAGCTCATCTACTTCGGTCGCTTCCACGCCCCCCGTCGACACGCCCGAGATTAAGCCTTCTTCTGGCCCTGACAATGTCAACCCTGCTGTCTCCCCTATGCTGGCTGCTTTGTCCACAACTCCAGCTTCCGTGAGCACAGCACCGAGTATGAACAATGAATGGATGAGGAACGGCATGGCCGGCTCTCCAGGAAACTTGATCAGTATCATGGGCGATTCACCGCCTACTCAACCGTCTTCTTATGAGGACTCAGGTCGACTGCAACAAGGATGGCCCGTACAGCGTCATTTCATGAGTCCCTCGCCTTCATCTTTATCCCCGCCAAACCACAGCCGACGTCCTTTGAGCTTCCAGATGGACGCCCAATATCAATCGCCAGAAACACCACCTCCGAGTGTCCCCTACCGACGCAGTTCGGTCAACTCCCCGTTCCAAGCCTCGAGGATGGGAAACCATCCGCCTCTGCCTCATCAGCCCCAGCCACACTTCTATGGTGTACCAGATATCGACCTCAACATGACTAACAACTCGGGCATGAAAGCCGGCGAACGAGGCTATTTCTTTGGCTTCGACAAGCTACCCGAGTGCCCCGATTTCCCGTTTGGTCCAAGCAACGTCGTCATCGCGGGGTATGAAGGCGGTTTGGATGTATACGCTGTGGGTAAGAGAGGTCTCGAGCCTGTTGCCAGTCTAAAGGGATTACGAGGAGGCGTTCACCATGCCAAGATCCTCCCTTGGACGCTTGGCAACAGTAACAAAGCTCTGTTCCCTCTTGTGGCGGTGGTATTGCATGGACCAGTTCTACCCTCAGCTGTACCTGGCTCTGTACAGGACGAGGGACCAAGCCCCGGGCTTGATGGGGCAGCAAGCCCTCGATCCGTCTTCACACACCACGATGGCTTCCAAGGGCGACAGACCATCGACTCATACCAAACGTCTGTAGAGGTGTACTCACTCAGGACCAACCAACTCGTTGATGTTTTACTTCAAGCTCCAAAGATCCCGATCAACCCTGAAATATCCGTCACGAACCCAATCTTCAGACCTCCTTCACCTAGTGGCTCCTTCACGATTCGAGCGGACTCAGGTACACTTGCAGTTTGCTCAGGCGTCACCGGCGAATGCTGGGTCTACTTGCAATTGTTGGAAGATCAAAATGGCCATATATTTACATGTGTCGGAAAGATCTGGACCAGACTCCAGCAAAGCACCCGAGGTGAGGTGCCAGAGGAGGCTGATAAGACACAGTCTTCGACCACACCACCGCGCTCAAACCCGCAAACACCGATTCTCGCAGTTAGGGGACGATGGATCGCTTACTGTCCTGCGACGCCTTCTTCACAAGTCTCATTGAGAGCTCACGTACCACTTCCCATTCTTGGCAAAGCACCTGGACTCGCCACTGTGACGCCGCCGCAGCTCCCTTCGTCTTCTGCATCGGTAGATCTTCCTATTTCCGATAGTGTCGTTAATAAGATCATGCGAGAGACGACCCAGGAACTTATTCAAGGCGCTAAGTGGGTTGGACAGCAAGGCCTGCAAGCTTGGAATTCATACTGGAACAAGTCGTCAACCCCCCAAACGCAAACTCAACAAGCCCGCTCGCCTCCCCAGAACTGGGCTGGTACTCGATCTCCTCGTGGCGATCCTATCAACTTCCCTCCAACTCATGGTCCTGCCGGCCCGGTTGGAGCAAAAGACCCAGGACTTGTGTCGATTGTTGATGCAGAGTCGCTCACCAATTCATCTACCATTCATCCGATTACTACGTTCTCGCCGCCTTTGGGCTGCAGTTTTCTTTCATTTTCGCCATCGTCTTTATCCCTGTTCACCGCCAGCAGCAAAGGCGATGTGCAAACAGTCTGGGATCTGTTCCGTATTCAACATACACGATCATCCCCTCTCCAGACCACTGTCACGCCAAATGCAAGCACAGGACCTCAGGTCCGCCAAATTGCACAATTTTCACGAATGACTGTCGCACGCATTGTCGATGTCGCTTGGACGCAATCGCAGGGTGAGCGATTAGCTATGGTAACTGAGCGTGGCACTGTTCATTTACTTGATATGCCCTCGAGTGCCTTCATGTGGCCTGCACCTCGCCGTCGCCAGGCTGTCCAGGAAAGTGGCACTGCAACACCAGAGCAGTCGAACACTGCTGTTTCTTTAGCTACTGGAGCTTTTGGTGCAGCTTATCAAGCTGCGAAACCCTTTGTCTCCCGACCTCGACGCAGCAGTGGTAACGTGCAAAACGTGACTGGCAATAGCCTAAAAGACTCAGCGGCTATGGGTGGGCGAGTGATTGCTGCTAGTATCAGCAGTTCACTTGGCAAGACAGGAACCGCCATCAACCAGCTTCGGCATACTGGTGAAAACCGAGTGTCCTTGCCGCTTAGCTCAGGCCTTCCTTCGGCATCCTGCGTGACCTGGGTCAAAAGCAGAAAGCATCAAGGACTCTTTGTGGTTGGCAACGGTCTAGTCCGAGGTTTCTCCTGTCGAACTCGCCGATCTAGCGTACAGGCTGGCAGGCGAGTCACACGGGCTAGCAGGTATCACGATTACAATGTGCCGATTTTACCCAGCGACTTGGTTGCTCCAGCTGTACGACAGATGGTTGACCTGGGAGCTCAGGATGAAATCCTCGACCTTTCGGACCGTGATATGGACGCAGGAAACACGCTGACACTGAACCCCCGACCTCGAGTTGCGGCAACAGATCAGACTATGGAATCGTCAATCCCTCAAGCTGAGATAGAGTCTAGTGCGCCTTATCAACCTTTCCACACGGATCGACGAGTAACTCTGTGCGAGTACCGGAGAGGAACAGCTGACCAGCTCGAAGTTGTCTCAGCTATCCTAGCCGAAACAAGTCTAGACGAAAACACTACTTCCAAGAAAAAGAAAAAGAAGGGGCAACCCATGGAACCAAATTCATCCAAAGAATTCTCAAACACAACGGCCTGGGCTTTTGGTCAGGATATTCCAGTGGTTCGACTGGATTTAGGCTTGGCAACAGTTGCTGAGGAGGAGTACGACGGTCCCGAAGACCATATTGCGTTGCCCCCTTCAGCCATGGAGCGCGTGATGCAGTATGGCGACCAGGAGCAGATCGTGGTGACTACGAGGAGACGACGTGGAGCGCAAGGTGGAAGTCAAGGCGAGGATGGCTTTTTTGAGGATGACTGCGAAGTCCTTGACTTTGCAGATCAGAGAGTGTGAGAAGAACTCTCAGACAGACAACGTGCGCTTGAGGTTGGCGTCTAGGTCCTTGACTTTGCTTGATTATATACATACGAAGCTGGAATGGCAACTCATTGCTTAAGCTGTTTGGCGGTATGGAGCAAAGTTTGTATCTTTTCGTGTGAAGCATGATTAGTTACGCTCAACCCAACTCTTGGTCCGGTATGTTGGAGTTTGATTCTGATATGTGGGCATTTTGCTTGTACGGAAGAAACACTCTTTAGCACGGTCGTTTAGCAGGTCATAATGCCTTATTATAAATAGAAAAAGATTAGATACCCATTCCGTGTAGTGTTCATCTCTTCTGCATCAAGACATTGTTGGCCTGAAGCTTCAAAGTCCCATAGTGTGATTAGGTCTTGGGCGAAACAACGCCATTAAAAGACACTGGATGATTACAAGTATATAATCGACATGTCGTCGTCTAGTTGGCCTTCTTCGCGGCGGCCTTGGCCTTTGCAGCCTTCTTCTGGTTGCTCCGAATCATAACCATGCCAAGAAATGAGCCAACAACAGCGGAACCGAGGAGGATGATAATGACGGGGATGCGAATGGCCCAAACGCGAGGGGGGAAGAAGTTCTGAAGAGGGTGATCGTCGTCGACAAAGGGCTAGCCAATTGTTAGTTGACAATGTGTTCAATACCTAAGCTGGTGTATATGGATCGGTAGGGGTGTACAGTCGCATCGAGCTGAGAAATGAGGGGCATCTTACCATGAGAAGAGTCCAGATGGTGTAGTAGGTGAAGACGACGGAAGCGGCCACGAGCATGGCGAGACCGACGATTTTGTCCAACTGTAGCAAGAAATTATTATGTTAGTAAAGTTGAAGCACCACGAGGGGCTGCCACGATGCCCCGGTCTGAAGCGCGTGAAGGGGACAGCGTGTAAATCAGGCCTGGACAGGTGATGCTGCTTACCATTGTCAAAGATGCGCAAAGCGAGCGAGCGTAGTCTTTGTGGAGCAGAGATGAAGATTGAGGCCGAGAAGCAGAAATAAAGGAGTGTCGTGGCAGTATCTTTTGGTGGTGAAATGGTTGGCGTCAAAAAGTCCAGTTGGCTTTAGGGACAAGCTTCAGGAGACGTGACGACTAAAGGTGGGGCGCCACAAATGCACAGCCACATTACCTTGAAGCTCCAAACGTGGCTGAACATCTTTTTTCAAACTTGACATTACTTCGCGCGCGACGAAGCTAGCAACGACATCTTTCTCGAGTCGCAAAGAATTTCACTTTCTTGTCCCCACGCCATCGAAATTCAGGACGCAGTAATCGACACGGTAGAATAAATCGATCGCGACGGTAACTCCGAGTGTAATTTTCTGACGATGGCTTCCGCCGAGGTCGATCTCCCGCGTCGGGACCGCGATCGCAGCGACAAGCGTGATGGCGATTCATATCGTCCTGCGAGAGACCAGCGATCAGCCTCTCCCAGGCAAAAACGAGAAGCTGCGCCTGTGCGAACCGAAGAGGAGAAACAAGCGGCTGCAAAGGCAGAGTACGAGAAGCTTCTCACAATGCGATCCGGCGGTACATATATTCCACCCGCTCGACTGCGCGCGCTCCAGGCCCAGATCACGGATAAGACGAGCAAGGAGTATCAGCGCATGGCATGGGAGGCGCTCAAGAAGAGTATCAATGGTCTGATCAACAAGGTCAACACTGCGAACATCAAGTTCATCGTTCCCGAGCTTTTTGGAGAGAATCTTATCCGAGGCCGCGGTTTGTTTTGTCGATCCATCATGAAGGCCCAGGCCGCCAGTCTACCGTTCACACCGATTTATGCCGCCATGGCTGCTATCGTCAACACCAAGCTACCCCAGGTCGGCGAGCTCTTGATCCGTCGTTTGGTTATGCAGTTCCGAAAGGGATTCAAGCGAAACGACAAGGCTGTCTGCCTTTCCTCGACTACCTTCCTGGCGCATCTTATCAACCAGCAGGTTCAACATGAAATGCTCGCCGGTCAGATTCTTCTTCTCCTGCTTCATAAGCCGACTGATGACAGTGTTGAGATTGCGGTCGGTTTCTGTCGAGAGGTTGGACAATACCTAGAGGAGATGCAGCCGTCTATTGCCATGGCTGTATTTGACCAATTTCGAAACATTCTGCACGAAGCCGATATCGACAAGCGAACACAGTACATGATCGAAGTGTTGTTCCAGGTGCGCAAGGACAAATTCAAGGATAACCCAGCTGTCAAGGAGGAGTTGGACTTGGTGGAAGAGGAGGATCAAATCACACATCGAATCGAGCTGGAGGGCGAAATTGATGTGCAAGATGGACTCAACATTTTCAAATTCGACCAGGAGTGGGAGGAGCACGAAGAGGCGTACAAGAAGCTGAAGGCTGAGATCCTAGGCGAAGGTAGCGACGAAGAGGATGACGACGATGAATACGAGAGTTCCTCCGAAGACGAGGAGGATGAGAAGACGAAAGCCATGGAGATCAAGGACCAGTCCAATGCCGATCTGGTCAATCTACGAAGGACTATCTACCTCACCATCATGTCTAGTGCTGATCCCGAGGAAGCTGTTCACAAGCTCATGAGGATCAACCTCCCTGCCGGCCAGGAACCTGAACTTCCCTCCATGATCGTGGAGTGCTGCTCACAAGAAAAGACGTACACCAAGTTCTTTGGCATGATTGGTGAGCGCTTCGCCAAGATCAACCGACTGTGGTGCGACCTGTTTGAGCAGGCTTTTGCCAAGTACTACGACACTATCCATCGATACGAGAACAACAAATTGCGCAATATTGCGATGCTGTTTGGTCACATGTTTGCTTCAGATGCCCTGGGCTGGCACTGTCTATCCGTCATTCACTTGAACGAGGACGAGACCACATCTAGTAGCCGTATCTTTATCAAGATCCTGTTTCAGTTCATCGCAGAGGAAACCGGCATGCCCAAGCTGAGGGCACGTATGACAGACGAAACCCTGCGCCCCAACCTGGAAGGCCTCTTCCCCAAGGACAACCCTCGCAATATCAGATTCTCCATCAACTACTTTACAAGTATTGGTATGGGTGCTCTCACAGAAGAGATGCGAACCTACCTACAGAACATGCCCAAACCTGCTTTACCTGCACCCCCTGCGGCTGATTCAGACTCTGATTCAGTTTCAAGCTACTCGTCGTACACAGGCTCTTCTTACTCGCGATCTCGATCTAGATCGCGAACACCACGTAAGGTCGCTGATCGAGGAAGATCTCTTTCTCGGTCTCCTGATCGAAGAAGCCGGGGACGTTCATACAGTTCGTCGCGATCAAGGTCATACTCGAGATCTGTGTCTGCACGAGGAAGGGGACGCAGCGAGTCTCGCTCCGCCAGCCCTCCCCGACGAGGACGTCGTTACGATAGTGAGAGCCGCTCACGATCCCCTGCCCCACGAAACGGCAAGGGTCGGGCTCGCAGCGCCTCATACTCATCTCGAAGCCTTTCCCGCACGCCTCCACGTCAAGCACGTGGGCGCAAGGACTCCTTTGCTTCGGAAGGACGGTCGCCGCTCCCTCCAGCTCGAGATGGGCGAAGCCGCTCATATGATTCCCAGAGCCGATCTCCTTCTCCTGTGAGAAAACGGGAGAGGTCATACTCTGGCAGCCCACCTCGACGAGGCCGACCGCGCGGAAATGCCGGCCCAGCCTCACATCGGCGCAACAGCTCTTCCGTCAGTGATGGACCGCGAGATGCTGGCAAGCAATACAGTCGCTCTCCTTCGTACGATTCGCGATCCCCGCCTCCAAGAAGAGCCAGGCCAGACAGCGTATCGCCCCCACCTGCGCGCAATGGTCGCCAAGCCTCTTACTCGCGATCGCCTAGCCCCCCGCGCCGTGGAGCTAAGAAATCTTTGAGCCCTGTTCCTCCAAAGAGGAGACGTTATAGCGATAGTGTTTCTCGATCACCGCCACCGATGAAGCGAGGACGAAGGGGAAGTTGAATGGACGGAGAATAAGGAGCTGGAAATAATGAAAGATAGGACTTGTTTATAATTAGAAGACCAGGTTAAGGAGTCGCATCATCAGCGGGACTACCAAAATTGTAAGCTTTTGAGACCTAGCGTCATTGTACGTGGAATTTCTTCAATGGTGAATTTCATATTCTTTGTTGGATGCATCATGAGAAAGTGAATAGTTTCATGCTTCATAAAAAGGAGGCCCTGGCTGGAGAAATAGTAGCTTTTCTATGAATATAAATTCCGTTGATCTCTGGAAACGAATCTCAGATCCTCATCTATCCCGCTTCTCCCATTCTTCCCATCCGGTAACATCGTCACAGTTATCAGTATGGAAACTCCCAAGGAACCGCCCAAGGCCAGCAACAACGTCACTGCATTCGGCATCTGTATCATCATGATGGGCTCAAAAACGAGAAACACTAAAGCTCGTATCGGAACTCTGACTCTTGGTAGCGTCGCGATTGGCGTTGGTATGTTTATCAAGCATGTTTTGCCGCAACAGAGTGGCTGACCTGTTTTTAGGAAGCGCTGGCTTGGAAAAGCTGGACGTTGACGTGGCTATGCTCGCGACCAGACTCTCAACAGTCTTGAAAATGGAGCATTCAAGCGTCGAGACTACGAATCCCTTTGAGGGTTAAGTTGGGGACTGGGACATGTGGACGTGATGGATGCATGCTGACCATGCTCAACTAAAAGGAGTTTTGTCCTTTTCGTACCATTGGTATATTGGAGAAGCAGATGGTTTTCTGAGAGGATAGATTTAAATGTCTGAACATCTAGACCAAAAATAATAGGAGAATAGAAGGTATTATCCTCAAGTTACCTCTGCATCGGAGAGATACGGGAGTCAACACTTCTTGAAGCCATATCCTTCGCAAAGTGTCCTGGCCTGAACAAGAGGTTCTTGAAGTCTACCAATATTGGTGTATCTGATGATGGCCTGATATCGACGTTTTATTACCTAAAATCTGCAACCACCCGATAGCTATGTGTCTGGGCTTTGTTTGTTAAGGCCTTGCATGTTAGTGGTTACAGCATAACAAAGGAAATTCTGCAGTGAATAACACTAAAGGCCGTTCTTTGTTTGTCCTGGTGAGTTATATGTGATACTGACATAAGCTATTGATTCTAAGTTTCATTCATTTATTTATTCTTCTTTGTAAGAAAGCTATCTGTTTAACAACACACTCTCGGACTTACATCATGGAGCTCACCACCATCTGTCTCACTGTTCTTATCATAAGTTTCCTTCTGATTGGAAACTCACCAATAGAGATGCCACGAGAAGCCTGGGGCTATACTCTTGCTACGGTATTCTTTGCCGCTATAGGAGGTAGATCGGCCATCATAGCCATACGAAACTCTCGTACTGACTATGACTAGGCGCATCATTCTTTGGCCAGATCATCCATACGGCCCTTCCAGAGCTTCAGAAAACACATGACAACCCTGAGGACTACTTTGAGCATATATAAAAGATCTTGCGTCAGGGCCGAGTCAAGTTCAGTGCATATGATTACCGCAAGTTCGGCATCTGTTGTGACCAAGAGGGGCAATGTATATTTTGTCTTGATCTTCAGGATAAGAAAGATGAGGAAATCCTAGCCTGTTTGAAAATGTTGCACAGTGGGTTTGACAGGAGAATGAAAAGAGTTCTTGCGAGAAAAGAGGAGCGAGGAGTCGATTCTTAGGACATATGATAGAAAAGACAGCCAGAATGTGTACACTACGGAGATCACAATGTTTACTCAACATAAAGATCATTATATGAATACAGACTAGTAGGTTGTTTATCAATAGAGGCTAGTTAAAACTGAACGAAATCATTGACTACGTACTTACGCAAAGCAATAGCTCTGCTTCTTATCGAGCTCGGCTCCTTGATTCTCTTGGCATGGTTTCTTCAGGTAACAACTTAACTAAAAGTTTATAGATGTGATACCCGGATGCAATATGCATGGCTGGTCTTGGCTTCGCGGAGGCAAACATCTTGAGATAAGGCAATGATGTCGGTGCCAATGAGAGTTACTTATGCTATATAGCTTAGGGACATCGAGTTTCATCGGAGCGATGTAGGTCGATATCTCTATTGCCCCGCACAGAAGCATACCGTTAGCCACATAGTCGAGCTTTGTTCTGGAATCTGTCCAGGTATCAAACTCACAAATAGTGCAATCACATTGACACTGTACAATTGGCTGGTCTTAGCTTCCAGAGGAAATACCATCTGTACTGACCCAGATCACCACGTGAAGGTGCCAGCCATCGATCTGGTGCCTCCACTTGGGCTGCGAAACCACAAGCTTCTCAGGCGTTCTCAAGGTCCCAATTCAGGGAAGAAGAAGAAGAAGATTGGGTGGCTCGCGCCAAAGAAAATAAGAAGAAGAAGAAGAAGAAGAAGAATGTTGAGAGAGAGTGGCTCACGCCAGAAAAAGAAGAAGTGTAGCTCACGCTAAATAAGAAGGAGGGTGGCTCACGCCAAAGAAAGAAGAATGTTGAAGATATGGCTCACGCCAAAGTTGTAAGGTGAAGCGTGTCAGGCCTCAGACAGAAGAAGAAGAAGAAAGAGAAGGGTGGCTCGCGCCAAAGAAAGAAGAATGCTGAAGAAGTTGTGGCTCACGCCAGAAGAAGAATTGTTGACTGGCGCCAAAGAAGCTGCTTGATGATTTTAGTTGCTGACCAGCAGGAGGAGAAGACTTCCACTAAAGAAGAAATGATGATGGTAATGGTGATGATAATGGGCGCGGCCGAAGACAGCTTAACGAGATTCAGATGCAGAATCGCCATCACAGCTCGGTACCCCCGAGCCTGGTCCCCTTGTATGGGTTTACGAAAGAGATCTCGCGAAGCATCATCTTCAAGAGACCGCTTGAGTACGTCTCAGGTTTGGGACCCTTGCGTTTGCGTTTGGGAGACATAGGAGGTTTGGGAAAGATTTTGTCTTGGACATATGAATAATGGCTAAGATCCGTCAGAGCCTCGAAACGTTGGACTGGCTCACCAGTGCGACTTGACTCAAGCATGTCTATGAGGTTGACACGGATTGGACGCATAACCTGATTTTATCGTAAGTCATCAGTTGAGATAGTTCAGGTCAAGTATTTTACTTACTGTGTATGCTTCGCTGAGAGAAGTTGGCTCAGGCAAGCCGATGGTTTTGAACATCTTCTGCCAGTTCAACAGACTGCGCTCGTTCTCTCCAAAGACGTAGGTGAACTCTTGTATAAGAGCGATGCGGAAATTATGCCAGGGCTCAGTGGCCTCGGCATCAGACCAGCCGAAGTGATCGCACATGCGATAGAACTCGTCATAAAAGGGCTTGGTTCGCTGATGATCAAACCCTTTGAAGTTGGCGAAGAAGAGATCCACAGGGTGATCGCTAAACTCACGGCCGGGCAGTTCCCATGGCACGAAATGGAATTTGTCGCAGGATTCACCTCGGGGGCAATGCCCGTTCTTGCGAAATTGACGGCACTCCTGCGTGAACTTGCGGTCCCTCTTGGGAGCCTTGGGTTCTTCCTCGACTGCAGCAGCAGCAGCAGCAGGAGGAGGCCGAAAGAAGTCGTCTTTGAGCTGAAGTATGTTGTTAGTAATAGGAATTTGGCAAGATGCTGACTTATGATATCTTACCCGGCGAAACCGCATCAGCTCACGCTCAACCAGACTCTGCGGGACTTCACCCTCACCCTCACCCTCACCATTGGGCTTATTGTCGTCCTCGGGCGACAAGGAAGCGACACCCTTTTGTTGGTCATTCTATGACGTAGACATGTTGGATATTTCTAGTAGGTATGTTTTGTGTGTTGTATGTTGTGTTGTGTTGGAAAAGAAGAGGAGAAGGAGAATCCAAAACGAGGATCAAAATAAGAAACAGTGCGGAGATTAGGGCACAAGGCAGAGAAAGGCACGAGGTGTAACAGTGGCAGGCAGTGTGACAGTGATTCAGTGACAACTTAAGCGGACAGGCAATAAGGCAGCATCTACTAAGGTATTCTTCACAGTGGCACTGCATGACACGAAGCGGCTAAATGGGTGCAGAAGGACTCCAGCTGTCTGTAGTGACTTCACTTTCGAAGTGCATATGGCTGAGATCAAAGAAGGATAGGGGTTGTTTAATGATGCACAGTTTTCAGAAACCTGTACTACCACCATAAAGAATAATAAGACTACATTTCATGGACAAGATCTCAGGGAAAATTCCGAAGTGTATGAGAACACCGGTATGCTCCGGAATCGACTCGTTTGTACTCATTGTAGACGAAATTCATTCGCTATCGTTCCACCAAACTATCCACTCGTTCATCTCAAGCCCAGACATCTAGAAGTAAAGGATATCCAGACTTAGCTCAGCGCGTATGATACCGTACCCAAATAGACAGGACGCAATGTTTGCGAGAAACTGGGCTTGCGGGATCAAACCAAGCTCGTCCTACTGTCCACCCCCCTCCGCTTTCTCCTCCTCATCCTCTTCATCTTTGTCATTGTTTCCATCTCCATTGTTACCGCCGTTTCCATCCTGATTCTCGGAGTCGTTGTCTCCATCACCCTGGCCGTGAAACAAAGCCCCGATCCCACCAGCACCCACGACTGCGCCGATGACCCGGACAATACGGTAGATGGTTGTAAGGCCATAGCCTCCAGCGCCAGCGCTCTGGAGAATGGCAAAGAGACTTCTAGTAACGACGTTACCGATGACACTTTGGATTCCAGCAGCAAACGAGCCTGAGATATGAGTTAGAGTGTAAACCCGATATAAGAGCAGCTGAACTTACCAGCAGCAATGCCGCCTGCACTAAAGCCAAGGGCACCCAAGATGGGCGTAGCGACAAGACCAGGGACTGCAATCATGGCCAGTGCAGCGGCGATAGCGGCCGGAGCTCCTGGGTTCTGCTGAGGTGGCATTGTGCGATTGTGAGCCTATATGTTCACTTAGCAGGTGTATCAAGTTGAACTCGATGCCATTCGCTTACGGATAAGAAGTTGCTGGTTAGATATGAAAGTTTTCTCAAGTCAAAATCTCGTGGGAATCTCAAGATGTTGAAAGAAAGAAGAGGAGATAAAAGAAGACGAAGTAGGGTGAGAAGAAATAAGGACTAGAACGCGAAGGTGGAAGAATCTTCCAAGAACTGTAGCTGGCAGGCAGTGGCACTGTTGGCTCATTCACTCGGGAACAGTGAAGGACGTTCCAATGGCTAATAAGGGTACCTTGCTCTGACGGTAGCAAAGTACCTATCTCATGGAACTTCTGATGGGCCAGTCTTTCCAGAACTTGATATAAATCATCCAAGGTGCTCTTTCATTAAAGGGGAATGCTCAATGTTGACATGGGTCAAGATGGTATAAGCAACCATATGAAGAGTGACTCCATATCAGATTCTGAGGAAACAGCTAATATTGTACACAAAGGTGGTTAATCTATATGACTTATTACTTATTACTTAGGTCGTTTTGAACCTGCTCCTAATGACAACATCGTGGTTTGCAAATGTAGATCTTACCCACGCCCCTGAACTTTTAGTTAAGCGCTTGTATTTGTTCATCAAGCTGGTCTCGAAAATTTGATGTTTCTAATTCCAAGCCTAGAAGAGTTCGATAGTTCTGCTTATCAAAAAGTATATGTTTCTCTGTCCTGGTTCAGCCAAGTGTTAGCCTCCTGGTTACTACTATCTGCCTTTGAACTATCTGTACCATCGAAAGAATCAGACTTGCAATACCTGACATCATATGTCCATTTGGAAAATATGCAACCAAGACCAATTCCAACACCAGTTCATTGTACAAAACCAGGAATAACGGGAGTATGGTGGTTGGTTTTGATCTTGAATAGACTGCTGTGGGTTGTTTGAGATCGATGGAGGTTGGGTAAGTCGTTTCCTAGTCATGGATGAGAGAGTGTTTGAGATGAATAAAAAAAGCGTGAACTTGGTAGAGATCGTCGTCGACACTGAGTGACAAAAACATGAGAAACTAGAGTAGCAGCAGTCGCCTTATTCACAGAAGTGGCAGCACATGCAATAGGTAAACACTATAGGAACAGCCACGTCCTTGTTAGTGATGTGGTATACTATAAGTAGAGGTAACACTGTCTTTGATGCAAACTCTACTCTACAAAACTGTTTAGATAATCCAGAGGCTTTCAGAGACATAGGGTGAAGGTCCAGCGCCATACTATCAAGAAAAACTGCAAAAGAGAGAGAGAAATATGTCTTCCTTTCTTTTCTCAACCGGTATAAGTGCCATTCTCCGTTCCTCTCGCCTGGCCAAAAGCTGAGTACACGAAACGCCCAAATGCGCAAGTCGGTATGGCATAAAACATATTGGCTACATTTCCCAAGATCTCGACTCCATAGCCACCCATGGCAGCACTCTGAAGGATCGCAAAGAGGCTTCTAGGTGCAGCATTCCCTATCCAGCTCTGAGCCCAAGACGCGAGCGATCCTTGGTAAGCCTAAGTTAGCATAGTAAATTCTTCATTTGAGAGTATTTGCTAACCGAATAGCGGGCCGGTTGGTGTAAAACCAAAAGCCTGAAGGATGATTGTGAACAATGCCATGGTGAAAATGTTGAGTCAGTGCTTAAGAAGGAGTGAAACAATCTGACGTGGGGGACAACGAGGCGGTCGTGAGATCGTTCTTTTGAAGGCTGTGGCTAGTTTCTTGCTGTATGTGTTTGAGATGAAGGAGTTGTAAGTAAGAGAAGAGATTCAAGCTGGTGCTGGGATTAAGAAGGGGCTCACATCTCAAGTCAGGCAGTGACGTCGACATCGGCACTGTTACCTAGACTGTTTGGCTTAAGGTGACTTATCTCAGTTGTTGCAGTTTTGGTCTTTGTTTCTTTTGTATGCATAGGCAAGCGTTGTATAACGATCATGCTGAATTTGCACAAATCTAAGATGCATCAAACTGCAGTCCTACCTCAATGCATCAATTAATCATTCAAGTGTTGAAGTTTTAAAGCTAACAAAGATATTCATAAACAGTATGCAACACATGCTACCAATAAAGAATGCTACAATAGATATCATGTCAAAGGTTTAGAGAAAGCAGAAGATAGAGTCATGTATTGTATTTTCAGGGACTCGCTTGGGCACAATCCAAGCTAAATACAAGATATCAATGGCTTTCCAAGGGTCAAGGATATTAGGTAACATAAGGAAGCCCAAATCTGATATGACGGTCTCATACTACTTATTCTTGGCATCTCAAACAGGGCATGAATACTTGACATTGCGAAAAATGAAGAAAGCCGGTTTCTCTAGGGGATGGCAAGTCCCATGCTGATCGCAGAAAATCACACCGTTACACACCATGGCAGCTCTAAGAATTCCGAAAGGGTCGCTTCCAAATAAACCATGGTTCATCGAACTCCGGGCCCAAGGCGAAAGTAAACCTAAGTGATATGTGATTAGTAGATTCCGTAGTACAGGCCGCAAATCTCTACTAACTTTTGAATACATCAATGGTAATCAAGCCGGCAGAATACATGTCCTTCAGCAGAGACCAAATTTGCGCTGGAAGCGCCTGCATGTTGTCCATAGTCCAGACTCGGGGGTTGACGAAACTTGGAATACGGGACGGTGGATGGTGGACAGTGGACAGTGTTATGGTAGAGATAATGTCTTGAATCAAGACTTGTTTCTGCTGGACAGATAGTGTTCTTGTGTGGGTGATAGAAGATGAAGAATAGAAGAGAGACTTGAGATGGTGGGAAGTTGAACAAGGGCCAGGTCAAGGCAGCTTTCGAACAGGCACCTACTATAATACCTCACTACCTCACCTTGGGAGTGCATCTTGTTGTGGTAACTTCCCGTCTGTTTGTTGCAAACAAATTTCAACCTGCAGTTACCCATGTAATGCACTCCTTTCTCCTCACTTGTGCTTCTTGATGCACGGCAATAAACATGATAACAAAGAACCAAACAACACAATTTCTACCCTGAGCTTCTAAAGAGGCCTCTGATTGGCTTACACTGTGGCAGCTCCATCTTGAGTAACGTTGAAGATAGATAAACCTATAGATGCTTTTGCTGATATTCTACCTATGATGCAGGTAACCTGGCCTTGGGGAGCAAGAAAACATAAAACCTAATTCTAAGGTAATAAAAATAAACTCTATAAAAGGTATCCTAAACTTATCCTAAATTTATATTAAATTACCTAAATCTTTTTATTAATTAGGCTTAAGATCACGAGTTTTATTTCCTCCCCTGGCCTGGCTGCAGTTATGCCTAGATATGTAATCCCTCTCTTCACTCATCACGCTACACAACATGCTTCATCCCGATATGAATATATGAGTTCTGCTTTGATTACCCATGATCTAGGTATATGTTTGAAGCGTAGTTTCTCAAAGTCTTGTTACCAAAACATTGAGTACTCTCTCTTGTATGGTCTTCTACATATAAACACAAATAATACCCTTGTGTGCAAAACGCAGCAAGGCCAGCTTGTGTATGGGGGACACTTGCTCCATGTAAGTTCATTGAGGAAGGCCGAATATATATGTGTCCTTCCACCGAGTCCCATAAATCGATCCTTCTTTGGTCTGCTGGCTATAGTGGACATATTACCATCATTTCTGAGCATGAAACAATCTGGAATGAACGTAACTAAGACACAGGCATCGCAACGTAGACAGCCAAGTTAACAGTTTACCCAGAATATATACTTTACATCACAATCTTGAGCTACAGCTCCTGCTCCAGATCTAGAAATCATCGAGACCACACCTCTTACACTTAAATCCTTTCATGTTTGTTCAGTTCTACTTCCTCGTCTATCTTCTATTGTGAAAGAGATGACTGGAATCCAAATCATTATTGTGAGAAGCTATATCTTTTGATCTATTCTAAGTATTTCACTCCCATACGCCATCTATTTAACTCATCGCAATCATAACTCTATCCCGCCAAAGCCTCATCTCGAGCCTTTGATATCTTCCTTTTCACCCTTCTCCTCCTGTTTCTGTTCCTGCGCCTTAACTTTGTCCTTCTTGCTCATAGTCAAAGCTCCCTTCTTGAACGCCTCGTTCGGTAGAGGTCGAATAATCGGTTGAACCACCCACCAAGGTCTTCGGCACCGCCTTTGTGTGCCTATTGAGCTCTCAGTCTCGGGAGGATCCTCCTCGCCCTCGGCTAATGGTGTCTCCGCAACGTTCTCACCATTGGTGCGCTCGTACTCGATGAGGCCTTCTGCAACCTTGCGTTCCACCGCAGATAGGACGCGCTCGTAGGCTTCCATGTCGCCTGCTCGGCTCTTGGCTAGCATGTCTCGCACGTCGGTGTGCTTGGAGACAAAGTGTCGCAATAGATGGAAAAGATGAGGCTGCATGGCTGACATGTTGGGGCCCTGTTCTCCCTTCTTGCCTAAATCCTTTCTTCGCTTCTTAGACGGTGGCTCATCCTCAACTGTCTCGCTCTCGTTCATCCATTCAGTATCGTCACCAGGCATGAAGAGTGGTCGGCGCTTGATGTGCTTCTCTCCAAAAACGTGTTCATGGAGGATGTCCATATATCGTCTGAACACAGCATCAACTCTGTAGCCCCCTTTTCCATCTTTTCCTCTCCAGTACTCTCGTCCCTCCTCTCCGACGGGCGGTGGCTTTGAGAAGATAGCTGGGTCGCTGAGGTTACCCTCAGCGCTCATCACACCATCAGCTCCTGTAGCCTCGAGGCACTTCTCGATATCTCCCTCCTGAAGGATATTTCCATTCGCGAAGATGACTGTCTCCTTGGGCAGGCTGTCTCTCAAAAACCGAATCATCTTCCACTCGGCCAGGCCTGTCAAATGTCCCTTCTGCTCCCTTCGTCGGCCGTGGACAGTGAGGATGGATGCGCCAGCCTTTAGAACATTCTGAGCGTATGCCAGTGTCTCCTCCTTCGTATCCAGAATTCGAATCTTGGC